TTCACATGCTAGAATAAATAATTAAGTAGGCAATCAACTCCATAACACTTTGTTCTGTGACTAATTTACTAAACTAATGTAAGTCGGGCGCCTCAGAAAAACAAATAAGATCTACACAGAGCATAACTCAAACTTAATAATGATAATGAAAATAGATCGCCTTTGTTTTGTACCAATTCTGTATGTCACATTAAATCATTACCGGATGACATAATATGATGAAATAATGATTCATATCAATACGTGCGGTGTATTGAATATAATAACTTAAGATCATTACTAAAAGTTATCTAAAATATATTTTCATAATTTAGAAATAATTGATTTAATATATTTCTGACTTATTTGTACATAGTTAAATTAATCTCATTATTTATTTGTTGATAGACTTAAGCCTGTTTTCACAATCAATCCCCAATTTGTAAGTGACCCTATGGAAACATAATTCCTGTTATGTGTTACTATAATAGGGGTCACTTAATAATAGGGACTGATGGTGAAAATGGGCATTAGACTAAAGGTCCAAGAAAAAAAAATAAAAAACTGTGTGTAGTATGAACTATACAAACAAATAAAGATACATACTTCTGAAGTTGTAACAGTTGTAACATTTACATTAATTGTGTGAAATATTTATGTTGTAACATTTTCAGTGATATATTTAGATAAACCTTTGGTACCCAGGTAAAACGTATTTTTTATTTAGAGAACCTTTAAATGTTTAACAATTTTATAAATAAAGAAACTCAACATACAAGTGTAGCAATTACTTTTGTAGTCTTTTCTTCCAATTTAAGGAACACGTCGATACTTATGTTGCAATACGAGAAACTACATTATCTACGACTCCAGTACATATCCAGTAATTCGTTCCAATGATTAAAACAGCGTGTAACAACTATCTCGAAATTTAATCTAAAGGTTAATGAGTGATAAGCATTATGTTTATTTCGATATTTTTTATTTATATTCACGCTTAAAGGTGCTCCTTCACTTGGAGTGTTTGCATGTAATGTAATGTTACAGAGTCGAGCATTACACTGGTGAACGAACATTACAGTACATAATTCGATAATATAATGTCTATTTTTTATACAACTTGTAACAACGAATCTGGAATGTTACATTAACATTTTAACATCAATGTTGTGTTCCTGAAGTTAGAGGTAAGATAGCTAGTTCCTCTGTGGTTGAGGATTCCGGGTGAAGCTCGCTTCCACTTTCAGCCTGATCATCACTTTTCATCAGGTGAAATGCAGGCCAATGGCTGCCTCGTGGATGGATAAAAAACAGGCAAGTACTTGCCAAGTCACTGTCTCAATTTCACGTTATAGGCGAATGCTTTAAGTGATGGAGCACCTTTATATTTGCGTATAAAATTTCAATGTGTTGACACGAACATTCGTTTTAATTGCAATGTGTACAAGATACCCTTGTTCGTAGAGGAGAGCGTATAATTTTATTCTTTGTACAGTAATTAAAATGAGGAGAAAGCGAAATGGTGTCTTTAATAAATGGTGCAATTTACTATCCTGGGGCACTTTCATTAAAATAAAATGCAAAAGAAATAATAGGAACTTGCACTGAAGTTAAGACATTACACTGCAGTGCAAAGAACGGTGGTCAAACGTTGTGTGGTCTTTAAGACGATATGAAAAATTTAACGTTCAGAAAATACTATAGGCATTATTCTAAAATTAACTAAACGCCCTAAAACGCTCTACAAAACGTAGTACCATACAAAAACCGCCCATTAAAAACTAACCACTCCATACCACAAATGCCTCCCCAAATTTATGCCGCCCGAAAAAAAATCTAAGCACAATTCGTTAAAAAACTAAGCACAATAATGCAACAAGCTCAAGCCTTATCCGTTATGCTAACAAGTCTCTTCGCGTGACTTGGGACTCGTTAGACGTTAGGCCGGCCGCGGACGACCGACTAATCGTGCGACCCTGCGACTAGACGCATGACCGATTTCGGTGGCATGTGAATGGAGTTGATGACGTACGTTGCATGTCCTGGGACGTGATCTAGTGGGTTACGTGACCCGACCTGATATAACAGTACGTTTAATCAAACACTAGTGTTAGTGACTTACGAAAATGATTTGTATGTTTTCCTTAGTAGGTAGATAAAATGACAAAACTACATTTGTTCTGTAACTGAGGACAAATTAATGTTCACGAACACATTATTTACGGAGTTACGGACTGGAAACCGTAGCATGCCTGTCTCTCGGTGAATCGCTGATCTACTGTGATATGTAACTTGCTTCTGAATGTATTGTAACTTCCTACTTTTTTATACTTTTAAACCGGCAGACAGTGGTGACTGAGTTTGTTGGGGCGCTTCTCAGACAGCACTTGCCAAATGTTTGACTCCAGCGCTGCTGGTAGGGAAAAAAAAGAATGAGACATGTACTTGTATATGCTCCTTAAGAGCATTTGACGATTTGTAAGTACTAATTTAATTAGTCTAAACAAATAAAGATTATTTTGATTTGATTTGATTTGACTGAAAATTGCGGGTAGACCCTGGATGCAGGCAGCGCAGGACCGATCTTTATGGAAATCCGAGGGGAAGGCCTTTTTTCAGCAGTGGACGGCATTAAGTTGACAAGTCGGCTATGTTACTATAGCTGTAGTGACCAAACGACTGTATGTATAATGGAGCATGGCAGTTTAAGATTTTAAATTTCTTTTATTTTCTTCTAAAAGTGTGTTTACGTCGCTATCGTCCTGAATACAACCCAAAATTTTAGTGTGAATGAATAAGCATGTTTTGGGCAAGCTCGCTCTGCCCTAGATCGCATCTGCACCCTTCAACCAAGATTCTTATCAAGAGGAAGCTCATTCATCACTTAAAAAGCTAATAATAATCAATACCTACCTATAAGTTTTTACGAAAACCTGTTTTTAGTTACAAAATGCATACTTAACTAGTTTCAAATGTTAACAAAATACGACCATGTGTTTTATCCTTATCTTTACTAAAATAATGTATTGTAAGATTTTGTGGCTTTTTGTAAATTCCAAGACTTCAAAAGTCAGTTTTATGATATTTAAAAATAATTTAATCAAAAAAATATACTTAACGAATTGAGAACCTCCTACTTTTGTTGGAGTCGGTTAAAATATTTATTTGCCATAACGGTAGAGGTTCTTCGTATAATTTTAGTACATAATCATCTCTATTTCATCACCCGTATGCAATCGCCTTTATTCTTCAACAGCTACCGTCAACTTATGTAATGTGTCATTGTAAATAGCTCTTATAAATGAGTGTTCTAAAATAAAGTATTATTGCGAAACTGTCTAATGGCGCCAGGCTGTTTTGTCTAGAGTTACCTCTTCTGACTCATGAGTTCATGAGATTAGAAATGTTGGAGATCGTATAGAGAAAGACATAATAATATTTGTATTTTGAAAACAGTAATGTGTAAACTTAAAATTTTGACAATCTCTAGAACCTAGTGCTAAATACGAAAGAGCTTTTTCTATCACATTTTCCAGATTTTTGGTCTTGTCATAATAGTTAACCTTGTATGCTAAGTCAGAGAACAGCATACGGACAACAGCACATCAAGAAAACACCGTCATTATTTTATGTATTTGTAACCTATTTTAAGACAGATAAATTACTTACTATCCATCGATCTAATGGTTGCTGTTTTTCAACAGAAGCTATTTAGTCAGATGGATTGTTTAAGGGAGATCGAGGAGAGTTGTTACAGAGGAAAGTTGAGACATTGACGATTTTTTGGAACTTATTAACTATCAGCTCGCAACAGCACGTATTTGTTANTTATAGAAACAAAAACTACTCGACGGATTTTAACGAAACTTGGTACAATTATTCTTCATACTCCTGGGCAGGTTATAGGATACTTAGGAATTCCCACGGGAACGGGAATTAGCGGGAAAATCCTTTATTGTGAAAAATCTAAACCGCTTAAGTTAGACGCTTGAAATTTGGCATGCGGGTACCTTAGTAAACTTAAAGCTTAGTTACAACAGGATATTGCAAAATTCCCACGGGAACGGGAGTTAGCGGGAACAAACATTTGTATGAAAAAATCTAAACCGCTTAAGTTAGACGCTTGGAGTTTGGCATGCAGGTATCTTAGTAATTTTAAAGCTTAGTTACAACAGGATATTGCAAAATTCCCACGGGAACGGGAGTTAGCGGGAAAAAACATTTGTATGAAAAAATCTAACGCGTAAGATAGATGAGACAGAGATGAAGCTGGTAAAACGGGATCCACGCGTACGAAGTCGCGGGCGGCCGCTAGTCTAAAATAAAGTAGTATTGCGAAACTGTCTAATGGCGCCAGACTGTTTTGTCTAGTTACCTCTTCTGACTGATGAGTCATCGAATCTCATGAGATTAGAAATGTTGGAGTTCAGAGAAAGACTGGAGCCTATAGGTACTATGAGATAAATATGACTTTAGCTCTATCTGTTATAACAATTGATTACCTAATGTATCCTATTTCAATACATTTAGGAAAGGAAGTCCTGAAGGTAGTAACAAACTTACTTATTGTAATATAGGCAAGAGTTTTTGGTGTTCTTAAATTTATTAAAGTAGGAGCATTTCATCATCTCGTTACGGACGGACAATAACAATCAATAAGTGAAACACAATGACAGGAACTACTTCATAACAAAAATGTAGTCAGATGTGTTTGTAATCTACGATACATTTACCACGGGCTAAACTTGCGCTCTCGCTTATCTCTTGTGCCACCCCAACCTGTCTGACAAGAGTGAACAGTGCTCCTAGACTGACCTGTAGATTATGATGTCAATGAAAACGAAGATGTTAAAAACCTACTATTTGTATCTCGCTACATATTCTTATTGTATGCCTAAAGAATAAAAATTCTTGCATATTAAAATTGAATATCCCTTGTTCCAGCATCAAGCCCCCATCCAAAGACGGCGTCACCAAGAGCAACCCCAGCAAGCGGCATCGAGAGCGCCTCAACGCTGAACTGGACACCTTGGCTTCCTTGCTACCCTTCGAGCAGAACATCCTCAGCAAGCTCGACAGGCTCTCCATACTGCGGCTATCCGTCAGCTACCTTAGGACGAAGAGCTATTTTCAAGGTAAGTGATATTCGATGCCTAATGCCCGTTTTCACCATCAATCCCTAATTTTGAAGTGACCCCTATGGTAACACTTAACAGGAATTTTGTTTTCATAGGAATTGATGGTGAAAACGGGCATAACATTGACAAAGTTAGGTCCATAGCTGATATAGTGATGAATTTTCATAGCTCTTCAGTTGTTTCCAGCAACTTTTTTTTAATAATTTGTGATTTTCAGCCATGTTTTTGGCTGTTTCATATTTTTGACTGATTAATTATTAAATTTTCTGTGTGAAAATAAATTTTTATTTTTTTTATTAAGTTAACAAATAAGTATGCAAAGAAAAAACTTTAAAGTAATTCCTTCACCATTAGGAACTCGCAAACTTTTATGAAATCTTTGAAAAATTGTATTTAGTTAGGGTATTGGCTAATAATTTATTAGAAAATGTATAATTATTCGTATCTGTTATTTCTTCAGCGCAAATCGAGTTACGTTGGTATTAACTATACAGTAGTCAGTACATAAGAAACAATAAGCGGGATAAAAAACAAGTGGCCTTTCTTTCCACATATTCATACGATTATCCTATTTTTTATTTAGATTTACTATCACACTCAGACTTTGCTACCAGTTCAAACATTGTATTTACGGAGAAGAATAGATAATGAAAAATATTCATTATTCTTTTCCTACCAATGCCCTATTACGGTCAACGATAACAAACTACTTCGCATACTATTAATAACTATTAATGACCATTAATAATTCAATTATCATCTCCCTGAACGTTAAAACCACAGTTTATTTCTCATTTATCCTCGAGCAAGTTTTTATTGTCTTGCTTATGAACGCGTTTGTTGAGCAAATCTAATTATCTTCCGCAAACAAAAGGAGGGCAATAAACATTATAAGGAATTAGCAACTGAACGCATTCTAAACAAATCGTCTCGCACTGGCGGGGTGTGGACCACAGCACAGATTGAACAGCCACATCATTTTGAACTTCAAACTACGCCTAGTTTTCTCGTTGCTATCCGTAGTTAGCCAAAATGTTCGCATCGCAACGTCTTTGTTACAATTGGAATAAGGTTGTGTAGTCAATTTTTTGGCCACTTTAGGTGTCACGAACGATTTGACGCTGGCTGTACGTGCTTCTAAAGATGTTTCTTCATCTTTGATACGATCGAGTTAATTTGACATTATTTTGTTTATTGTCTGGAACTCGAAGTTAACAAGCATCATAAGAGTGCTGATGAGAAGAAAAATTGTTAATTTGGATAAAAAAAATATTGTCATATTTCAAGACAATATGAAAAAATATTTCCTGGACACAGAAAACGTAGAAAATAATTTAAGATCATTGTTCAAACAGCCATTTTTTGTGCCAATAGAATTACAGTTACGTTATTGCCATTGCAATCAAGTCTTTTTGTAATTAAGTCCGTAAAAACGTGTCTTGTTCTATAAAAATCTTGTACATAATGCATAATGTGTATAATTATGTAATAAAAATTTATTTAATTTATGTATTTTGAAAGTCTGCTCTGTATCTTATAACTTTTGACTAACCGTTCTCTTTTAGCTGTAATAGTGGCCAAGGAATTCTTAGTTTACAACTTTAATCTCGCATCGAATACAAAACGATTAAAATCGGTCTAAGAATCGATGCGATGCATACCGATGTATTCGATTACTTACGAATGAGTCCAGGGACAAGTATTTAATGCTGTCAGCCAATTTTATTACGTAGTACAACGTGTATTAATAAATGCGTGCGCGCAGGCTCGATTCTGGCGAGTTGTAATCGATATGTTGGTTGATGTGAGTGTTCGGTTAGGGTTATCGAGTGATCGTATGATTGGCGAGAGAAGGACATAGTTATTCAAAGTTAATTTAGAATTTTCAATTAACCGCAAAGGTTGGTTGGGCCGGATAACTAATTTTATCAACCGACTTCAAAAAAAAGGAGGAGGTTCTCAATTCGACCCGTATGTTTTTTTTTTTTTTTTTCTATGTTTGTTACGCGATAACTCCGCCAATTATGAACCGATTTGAACAAATCTTTTTTCTACGTATAGGTAATACCTCAAGGGTGGTCCCAATTAAATTTAATAATAGAAAAAACAACCCCCAAGGGTGGAAAATTGGGGATGAACTTTTTTATACGCAATATCTCCGCCGATTATAAATCAATTTGAACGATTATTTTTTTGTTGAATAGGTATTATCAAAAGGGTGGTTTCATGCGAATTTGAAGAAAATATTTCACCCCCAAGGGTGGAAAATTGGGGATGAACTTTTTTATACGCAATATTTTCAATTTTTAGTTTTTTTTTCTGTTCACGCATTTGAAGTCGGTTTTATTTTTTTAAAAAGTTAATTATTCATGAGATACTCTATCAGTAATAATCGGTTTAAAGCGTGTAAATCGATATAAATTACAAAATAGTGAAAGAAGGAGATGTATTTTTTTTATTAACAATGTGTTTTTTCATAACACTGTCATAACTAGGTTACTAGTACTCAAGAAAGATAGCAATATTTTTAAAGTTTTTGGGAGTTATAATGTTCAATGTTAAGCTCAAATGAAATGTGATTTTATTTTATTTATTTGGAAAACAAAACAGATTACATTGTTTACAAGATTTAAAATATACTTTAAATGTACTTAGATATTATGATATGGTTAGGAAAGACTGTCTTTACATCCTTAGTAATTGATTAAATTAAAAACTAGCACAATTATCATTTTATCAGTAGCGATTAGTAGGCAAAATCTAGGATATCATGCTTTTTACACTCTTTGTGAAGCTTACGGTTAACAGAAGACTGCAACGATAATGACTTTTTAATGTAACTCTAACTCTATGTCGAGTAGCTTATGTGCCCAACTCTAAAAATATTCATAATTAAACAAAGTAAATTAGAAAACAATCCAACACCCTTTACTACCACTTGTAAACCATTGAATCGGAAGCTACGGCGAAACAAATCTGCGCGCGCGCAACTTACGACGCCATAGCTGTAGTGACGTGAATTAGACCGGCGCACAGTCACGAGTTGCAACCGAATGCTTAGATTGTATCGAGCTTTGTATGCAAACAAAAACGGCGTTAATAATACTATTACATGGAGTAGGAAGGTTGGTTTGGTAGAGTCTGAAGCAAGATAATATACAAGAATAGATTTAGCCCGCGGCTTCACCCGCGTGTAATTTAGTTTGTCTCATATCGTCATAAATTATAGCCTATATGTTATTTTGGGTTATAAACAATAATACTGTAAAGTTTCATCAAAATCCGTTCAGTAGTTTTTGCGTGAAAGAGTAACAAACATGTTAACATCCAGACATCCATACAAACTTTCGCATTTATAATATTAGTAGGATTGTTGTAAAGTTACACGTATTACAAGTACATAGATGTCAGCCTTCAGCTTGATATGCTGTCATCTATCAGAATTAGAAAGGGAAGAAGTTAATGATTAAATAAATAGTTTATCTCATTTTCGTACAGTGAAACGAGACTTGTGAATAAAAGAGAGAAAATGCTTGATAAAAGGAACTATTCTTAAAAGTGCTTATTTGTAAGATAAATACCACCACAAAAAATACACCTTGAATGGTAAACGATTAGTGAAATGTTAGAAATTTTGTATTTGAAATAATGTAAGACTGGACTGGACGCAGGCCGCTACCAACCGATCAACTTGGAAATCATTGGAGGAGGCCTATGTGCAGCAGTGGACGTCCTATGGCTGAAATGATGATGATGATGACTAATTTTGAACTTTGTGTGTCCGATATCAAATCAATTTGAAGAAATTGAAAAAAAATTGGTACTTAGTTCATATGCCTGTCAACTGTACCAAGACTACAAAATGTCCGCCACTGACCAGAAGCTCTTCCCAACACCTTGCATCACCATCATCAATAAATCAATATTCAGCGACAAACCGACAACTCTCAACCGTCCGATAACTCACGGTTCTACGAAACTCAATAACTCACGGCTACCGGTACTGCGCATTTTAACCGCGCCGGTTCCGGAGCCCCGCGGCGCCGCCCGATTCGGCACCGATCCGGCGACCTGTAAACGATGCTTCAACAATCGATTTAATTAGAAATATCGACTTTTTTAATGTACTGGCAGGGAGAGAAGTGTTAAGTTGAAAAAGCTTTTTGGGAAATTATTTTCCAATAATTCTTCTGTATTATTTATAGCCTTATACATAGGTATCTATAGCTAAAACTTTTGTAGAGTCATGTAGGTAAGTGATTTACAATATATTTTTTATTAATTGTTTCCTAGGGTATCGATTTGATTCCTTTCCAATTTATAAAACATTTGAAAACATCTAAAACTTTATTTATTTCTACTAGTAAGATATTAATTTAAAAGCAACTACACGTTTCAAAAAACCTCCTCCTTTTTTTGAAGTCGGTGAAAAGAGTAGTAATTTTAATTTAGGACATTTATATTGATGCTGCGAAGATAGTGGAACTCAATGAACTTTCAACCTTTTTTAAGAGAAAATACAATCATCTTACAAAGTCTGGAATACGAACGAGCTAGGCTAACGAATCTGTGATCAAATCAAGTGCAAGTTAACTCCATTTAACATTTTTCCCAATATAACCTAACCTTCATTTCAGCCTAAACTATAACCTTAGAATTAAGCACTATTTAACTATTGTACCTATGCCTTCAAGACGGAACGCAGCCGATCTATACCCATTTATAATTTGACAACCTATGTAGTATTTTGTATTTGAATATTTTGTCACCGACAGTACCCGAACCTGCCGACTCCAGTCCCTGCACTATAAACCATCGCCCCCCACCGATTTTTATTCCACTGCCTTCGCGGCATAAAATTATATGCTACATTAATAACTCATTTAGTGATATATGCACTTAGTAGCCGACGTATGCAAAATGCCTTCGATTTACGCGCCCAATTATATGTTGATTTGTTCTGCGAGTTGATTGGTTACTGGGGCGGGAGACGATGT